TTCTCACCACAAACAAACCGCACCAGAGTTCGTTTGGAACCAGACTGAGACCACCTCTTCAAGAAGGTCTCGGTCCGGTTGTTTTGGTGCACACCTGAGTGTGATTGCTGTGTTCACACCTGCACATGCGAATCGAACACAGGGGGCAAATGAGCTTGAGTTTGATTGAACTGAACCAACCAGGGCAGGTGTGAAAGCACCCTTAGAATCAAAAACATGGGAAAATAGAGTTTGAGTTGGAAAAAAATACCAAACTTACCCTTTAATTTGAAATGGCAAATTAAAGGGAAAAGGCACTTGTATTGACAGGTTTATTCTGGCACATTAACTCTGTTGTCTGTTGTAAAAGAACAATGTTTGATGAGAACAGCTGTCGTCTCTGATGCATAATGACCTCGCTGAACCACACAACTCTAAACTGGGTCTCAGATGTCACTCAAGATGGATAAGAACTCAGACAGTCTACAAACTCTCAGAAACTTCTCTTTGTCTGAGTACATCTGTTCACATAATAGATAAAAGAGAACAAAAGCATCCTCCTTCTCAGCTTTTGTCAAGAATGACAAAAGGCGAAAAACCATGCTGCGATTCTTTACTTTAAACCTCAGTAAGAACATTTCACTAAAGAGCCCATTAAAAATAAGAAAATCAGTGTCCAATTACCAACATGCTGAGGGTTCTCTTTGTTTGAACTCATCATTCAGAAAATCACAATATGTGATCACTCATTAAATTAAAGTTTAATGGAGAAAACCTAATCAACTCTGCAGAGGAGTGACACGCTCTCAAATGGAGACCAGACAGAGCTGAAGTCAGATGACATCTTGCTGATGTCTGAGTAGCCACGCACTGTGTGTTCAATCCCTCACACTTCCAGTGACAGCCTCTGCAGGCAGACCTGTCAGTAACACAGATGACACATGCAGGCGTGTGCACAGAGTAACTGCGCTGTCATCTCTCGCAGCCCGCTGTTGACTTTCATATCATAGCATTGCCCCTGCCGGCACAGCTGAGTGCGTTCACACCTTGTCACGCGCGGGGAGATTAGCCTGTCTAATTAAAACCAAACACTGACAGGGAATGACTGAAAATTATAGATGTAGATGCAGGGAGCTCGAATCTCAACAAGTACATGTAAAATGAGAAGCTAATGAGCAACACATTAAAGTAATGATATCTAATGTGGGAAAATAATAATTAATTCACATTAAATAAGTCATTCATTAGATATAGACAGATATTTAATCAATGATTTGTTGCGTAATGCATCTTAATAAATTCCTGAGATGATGCATTTTTCTAATACTGTACCTTATTAATGATTTTTTTAAATTACAATCCATAACTGAGCATCACGTCCATCAATAACAAGTTGCTTTGTAAGCGTTAAACATAAATTAATCTTACTTACAAACCTGACTGCTGAAAGCTGTATATTAAATTATAATAAGTCCATTTAAAGTAATGATACATCTGCTAATCATGGCTGATTAGTATTTTGATTTAGTATGACACGTACTGATTATTATGATTATTCTGGTTGATTAGACCTCTGCTCAAGCTGAAATCAAGCAGAGAGAAGCATGTGTGCATGTGTTCACTGACGTCCCTGTGCTGATGCCTCCTACAGTACGTTAGTGTCAAATTACATGATAATTTAGTGATTAAGTGGAAAAAATTCTTGTTTTAGTCATGCAAGCATTCATGTCATCATAATGATGTAGTTGTAGGACTGAGAATCTGGTCGTGTATCTGTATATGACCCAGTGAAGATTTGCTGAGCACAAATTATCAGTTTTAATATGAGTAAAATTTGCTTCCTGTTTTTATTCTATAAAAAAAAAAAAATGTCTGTGTGGATAAAATCAGAGCTTCGTCTGTTGTAATACCCACTGTATGTTTAGAAACGACAAGGCAGCAGATACTGTATCATACACAGACTCATTCATTCATCACAGGCCATTTACCTCAAAGATGATGAGGACATAGACGCCAGTCAGGATGGCTGCAGCGATGGCCACCTGTGTCTCCACGCTGACGTAGAGCGACTGGTGAGTCATGGACAACGGCACCACTTCGTTATCCTGCAGGAAGGCCTGAATGGTGATGCTGATGGGGTCACTGTGAGGGAGAGGGAACAGCTCAGCAGCGAGAACAACATGCATGCTTTTCTTTTACATTCATCAAAATAAACATGTCAGAAATCTGTTGTTTATGATGTTGAAGTCTGGAATGAACTCCTCTCCATGTGATATAATGAAAGAACAAAATAATAAAAACACGATCAAGTTATGTGGCTTTAAATGTGCCTATTGTAAGGCATTAAATTAAAAAAGAACCATGTTATCAAAAATGTATTGTATAAAGTTCAGCTTGTCATTCATCCTGTCACACGTGCAGCTTTCTGACCCCATAATCATTTTCATACAGTCCACTAGGTGACCAATATATATGTTCAAATCAATATAATGTCACAGAGCGTTCTGAGTACCTGCTGACCATCTCAAACGTTTTCGTCACCAGTATCTGGTCACTGCGTTCACTGTGCAGAGGAATGGTCCAGTTATGAATCACCTGTTCAGAAGATAAATGAGTTTCACTGATCAGCACTGCACAAATGACACAGCAAAAAATGTACCGCACAGACGCCCTCACCTGCTGAGTCCTCCTCCTCCGCTGTCCCGCCTGCTCAGTCTGCTCCACCTGGATCAGGATGTACTCTTGGTTTGTGAGGTCGATCATCCCTCCTGTGAAAGGCCCTCCCACCTGGAGCTTCAGCAGAGCGTTGTCTCGAAAATCTGTCAGGTTCATTGCTGTGGGACATCGAGCGTCAAGAGAAAAATCTGGATGTGTTGAATGTGTGTTTGTGTGTTTGAAAGGAGACTGAATGTGTTGTGGAGGACTGTTAGACCAGCACAGGAGACTGAGGAAAGTTTTTGGAGATGACATTTTGGAAGTGATTAAAGGCTCCATAAGAATAAACTGCGCAGGGTTCTTTTTCAGCCCATTTCAGAATATAATGAAGGCAAGAGAGTCCTTTCTCCTTGAATACGACTCAGCGACTGAAGTACACATTGAAACAAAGCAGTGGGGACCATTTATTCACCTCTCAGCCAATCCTCCCCTGCAGCATTCACTCTGATTAAGACCCTTGTGTATTAACACATTTTAAAAATCTGTTTTTAATCATCTCCGATGTCTCTGCGTTCCCTTATATTCACAGTAAAACACAGCTGCATGATGTCCCACCCCTCTTCCTGTTGATTAAAGGCCTTTTTGCAGCCCAGTTTGTTGTGTCTAAATATAGAACATAACATAAAGTCACTAGGTGCATCGACAGCAATGCGACAGGAAAGGATACAGAAACTGTCTGTTGAAGAGACCGCCAACATCCTCCAGGGGTTGTCTCTGTCCGGATACATGCTGAAGAACAGCTGAAACCAGAAACCGTTCATCAACACAGTGTTTAGTCACAGTTCAGAGATATCGAGACGATATCGAAAAAGGACACACATTGTGTGGTAAAAGTCCATACATGTAGTGTGTTGTTTAAAATCCCTCTAAGAAAGAAAGCAAATAAGCATACCAGTATTTCCAAAAATGTTTAACTACTCCTTTAATAGGAATAAGGCAAAAAAAAATGTGTAGATATAAGATAACTGTAAGATAACTCTTAAGTTAACTGTGAAGTTGTTTGCTTTTTACAACATGATGCTTTTGTGTTATTACACCCAAAGTGTTGTGTGATGGATGGACACGTCCACTTACACTGCAGAGGACAACAATAGTAAACATCGTGGCAATTTTGGAGACTCTGAAGCAGCATCTGAAAAGACAAAATGGAGACACGGTTCAATGTTCACTGTAACAGAGCAGCCTGCTGTATATCAGAGGTTTCCAACCTGGAGGTCAGGACCCTCAAAAGGGCTCGCAGAATGATTGCCGGTGTAGGAAATGATTTAAAAGAAAAACATAAGAAAATACTCTCATGTTTTTGTGGTTTGTATTTTTTTGGTTGTTGTTTCTTGGGGGGGGGTTTCTTGCACTGTATAGTTGTACTTCTTCGGGTTTCTAAAAGATATTCAAATAAAACACTCAGAAGGAATAATCTCTCTTTAAACTCCTCACAAGAGGGACTGTAAGTAGACTTCATATTAAGGGGTTAAGGGGAGACACCACAGGTCAGAAGGGCAGTATTTTTATCTAACAGATAAATCGATTATTGATTCCCCTGTTGATAACTTTATGTATATGAGCGGGTCGTACACTAATCAGAAGATCGGCGGTTTGATCCCTGGCTCCTCCAGTCAGCATGTCACCGTATCCTTGGGAAAGATAGGGAACCCCAAACTGCTCCCAATGGCTGTTCCATCAGTGTGTGAATGCATGTAAATGGTTACTGAGCAGTAGGTGGCACCATGTATGGTAGCCTCAGCCACCAGTGTGTGAATGTGTGTGTGAATGAGTGAATGTGACATGTAGTGTGCAAGCGCTTTGAGTGGTTGGAAGTCTAGAAAAGCACTAAAGAAGTGCAGTCCATTAATATGTGTTGATTTGCATGAATTTCCAGAACAAAAATCTGAAAACGGGATAAAAGCCAATTTCCAGATTCTTGTTTTATTTTGTTGACACATTAAGAGTCAAATGTTTCGACAGAGGGAGCTTTGGATATTTCTTTTTATCGCTCAGTACATCAGAAAATGCTGTCAACAGCCAGAAAAAAAAATAAAATTTGCCATGGTCTTAGGAACTAGTCCATACCCACTGAGTGCACAGTTGCCCACGTACAGTTTCACATGGTGTGTGTTTGGGATACAGGTCAAAGGAAATTGCAGATTAAATAGTCAACTGAACCCATTAAGAGGAGCAATGTATTCAGACAGAGTTTTTGTGAATTTGATAGTACGATTGCTTTATTGAAAGTACAGTAGTACCATTGCCAATAGTGGGATAGTTAGTGGGCTAAAACTGTACATTAGTAGTTGAGGTAGCACGTTGAAACGCAGATAGTTAAAAGTCATTGCCTTATAGAAGCTCAGTTTTAGTTTTCCAACTTTTGCCAAGAGGGAACTTTAGATATTGGTCCCTAGATTATGTTCACACAGTTTCATGCAGATCGCTCAAACTTCCTAGGAAGAGATCCATTTCAAGTGTTTTTCAAAAAATTCAAAATGGCAGAAAATCTATATAACCGGAAGTTATGGGTTCTTGAGGCAAATTTGTTCCTCATGAGGAGAGGCATCTCTGTGCAAAGTTTCATGTCTCTACGACATACGGGGCATGAGATATGCCCATTCAAAGTTTGCAATTTCAGTCGGTTGCTATAGCACCCCCCTTTGGCCAATTGATGTAATATTGCTTCATTCACATCCTCCCATGACCCTCTACCACTGTGCCAAATTTCACATGGATTGACCAAGTCAGTGAGGAGAAAAACGTGGAACAGACACACAGACAGAGTTTTCATCATTATATAGTAAGATAAAAAATTCTATAAATCAGGCCTTCAGAATATAGATAGAAATAAAACTGTAAAGTCTGGTGCAAGTGCCACTGAAATGAAGATTTCTGGCTCAAAATAGGAAAGATAAGAGTTTTAAAATTCCATTTAGATTACCAGACCAAAAATAAGGCACTACAGGGGAATAGGGTAAAGATTTTAACAAATAGATATCACTATGAAACTTACCCAGTTACTTTTTTGTTTTAAAAGTTTTTATGAAATTTAATGTTTTAACACACAAAATTATCTAATTAAATATGCACTGAACTTAAACAAATGTCTTAATGTGTATTTTGGATGTTTTCTTTCTACTAGTTTAAAAAAAGAAAAGTTATGGAAGCAAAAAAAGCCCAAAATCTTAAACCAGTGCGTGAAAAAACACCAGTAGTGTCAATTAGGAAGCACCACTATATAAAATGTTGCAGTCAGCCATAGTTTCCTGGCAACATGAGGGGTCTCACTTTACACTGCTGGTGAGTCTGAAGCTGAGGTTGAGGTTGTCCAGAGGGTCGCTCTTCTCCGAAGAGCTGGAGCGCGACAGGGACAGGCTGGTGACCTCACTGCCCAGCCGATACCTCCTCTCCAGGTCCAGGGAGCCGTTGTCCCAGGGCTCTTCCCCTCCAACGAAGCTGGGGTCATGTAAGGTCATGTAGGTCATACTGGAAAAGAGTAATCACTGTCAGTCATCTGAGCATCGACCACTAGAGCTTCAGTGAGAGAAATAAACACTACATTTGTATTAAGGACGCCAGCTGTGGTGTAAAGCTTTTAAAATGAAAATGTTTCGAATTCTAAAACATGACTGTAAAAGACAAGCATCCTATAATCAGAATTTCATTACCTGTGCTGTACACTGCTGTCAGAATGATGTTATAAGTTGAGCCATTTCATAAAGTGGCACTGCTGGCATGTCATTCTGCCAAATATGAAATACTAAAGCAAAAAATACATAATCTCCTCTTTTATGAAAAAAGTGTTATTCCAGTAGAAACTGTGAAACTGCTTCAGTAAAGATCAGACACACAAAATTAAACCACTGACAGGTGAAGAGAAGAACATTGATCATCTTGTTGCAGTGCAGTGGTCTGCTGGGAGACCTTTGGTGCTGGCATCCGTGTTGATGCCATCTGACACGCTCCACCCACCCAAATACCACTGCAGAACAACTACACTCTCCCATGGTGGTGGCACTCCCTGATGGCCGCTGGCCCCCCAGCAGGACAATGTGCCACACAGTACAAATTTTTCAGGGAAGATCTTTGGAACAAGACAGAGAGCTCAAAGCAACAACCTGGCCTCAAAACTCCTTGGATCCCAATCCAATCAAGAAGCCAAGTCCGATCCAAGGAGACTCCACAGTGTGTTGGGGGTACCTCTGGGGTACCGCCACGTCCCACAGATGCTGGATGCTCTGGGGACTTTCGGGGCCAGGTTAGTGCCTAGAGCTCCTTGTCACATTCCTCTGGCCATTCCTGAGGATTTTTTGTGGTGTGGCATGGTGCACTATCCTGTAGGGGGGGCACTGCCATCAGTGAGTGGGTGTATTTGGTCTGTAACAATGTTTGGGTGGGAGATATGTGTAAAGAGGTTTCCCAGCAGAACATTGGATTGTAAAAAGATGATCAGTGTTGTTCGGCTCACCTGTCAGTGGTTTTAATGATTTGGCTGATCGGTGTATACCATACCAGACTTATGATCTAAAGAGTGAAGAATTACTCACCTTTCATCTTGGGAGAATCTCAGCAGAGGCGACCTCTCTGTAATGTTGGCTGAATTTGTTTTTCCTCTGAGAAAATTAACCACGCTGAAATTGTGCCTGAAAAAACAGAAAAATGCAATGGAATTCAGTGTGTTAAAGGAACAGTGGGTAAGATTTCGGGAGATTTAGTGACATCTAGTGGTGAGGACTGCACATTGCAACTAGCTGAAACTTCTCCCTGTTGAAATTCGAATTATCCGCAGAGATGTTGTCCTGTCCAAAACAAAAGGATCAGGTGATTTAAATCAGTAAAAACACTAAACAAAGCAGTTTCATGTTACAAAACAGATTTTCTCCGACTCTGTTTGACATTTTGGAGGCAGGCCGTTAGCATAGCACCTGCTAATGTGTGCTTACCTATTTTCTCTGATAATTTAAGATGTGGCGTTCAGGAGGCTTATACCAGAAGCCAAATTATCTGCAGAGATCTTATCCTCCTTAAAACAAACAGACCAGGTGATTTAGACCAGTGAAAACACTGAATAAAGCAGTTTCACATTAAAAAATCAGAGTTTTTCCTGCACTGTTTTCGCCACATGAAAAAACAAATGGCCCTATCTAGAGCCAGCATACATTTTGTCTGCTCTAGGCTACTGTAGAAACATTGCCGTTCAACATGGTGGAGGAGGACCACTCCCTATGTAGATATAAACAGATTATTCTTGGGTAACAAAAATGCCACATTTCTTATTTTCAGGTTATTATACACTAAAGAAAACATGTGTATTATATTATATTCCATTCCAACCACACACACTGGACCTTAAAAACAATTTTTTTGTGAACTTTAACCAGTAGAGAAGCCCTCAGCTGTCACGACGCAGCTGTCAGTCACTGGTAAAAGCAGTTTGCCAGACCCTTTGTAACCCATGGGTGGCAGAAAGGTGGGTGAGCAGCTGGTGACTCCGACACCTGAGGAGATCATTAAATGTGTCTTTTGTCACCCTGCTGCTGCACTGTATCCCTGAGGCTCCTGCAGGCTGCCTTGCTGGGGAATCATCCCAGCTGGGTCTCCACCAACAATCACACCCACAAACAACCTCTGTATCTGTCTTTTAAATTCAAACACACTCGCACATACACACATATATATTTAAAGCTGCTCTCGCTGAGACTTTTTTAAATGTGAAAAGTCCCTAAAAAGCTGTACTAACTGCGTCCACTGCCACATATATTTAAAAAAAAATAACACCAATCCACTATTTCATCAAGCCCACTGTCATCTCCGCAATTACTTTGGCAACAGTAGAGACGTCATGGGAATTGTTACATAATGGAATTCCAACCCACTGAGCCAAAACTGTTAGATGGAAATCTTTCTGAAATTTAAAGGTCCCCCTCGGCTAATCTTATAATCTTGAAGGGTTTTTTTACCCTCTGCCTGTCAAAGGAGTCGGGCGCTTAAACACAGTCTGTGCACTTCTTTAACACAGCAGTAAGCATTAGTTATTTTTTCAAAAGTATTGTGAGTTAAATACTGTATTATGGTTTAATTAACTTCCTACTGGACAGGGTAGGTAATTCAGTAATTTATAATCCCTTGCTTGTGTTTTGTTATTATCTTACATGAGTGGCAGGCGTTACCAAATGCACTCCAGACAGCAGACAGCTGGGTGCTCTGAATCAATGAATGTGGCGAGGGTGTTGGATGAAGGAGTAGATTACATTAGGGAAGTCTGTCGCATTAATCCTCCACAATACTCTTATACAACTATGAAGAGATTTACTGCACATCTACAACTGTTTTCTCCCCTTTCCTTCCCCCGACACGACTCTGATCCTGTCCCCTAGATGTGACTTGGCACAGACATTACCACTTACAGAGGAGTCTTTAAAGGATACTGAGCCCAGACGGAGCGCAAAGTGAGGCTGAAATTAAAACGGAGCTGTAAGGCGGTCTTTTTAGGACACCTGCAAAGGCCAGTCAATGTGATTAATATTGACCAGTGGAACATAGGTTATATTTTACTGGAGTTATTCTTCATTTTATGGATTTTCTTTTTAAATATATTTACTGCTCATAATATGATAGTAATCTATACTTTTGGTCCTCTTGTCTTGATTAAGATGCTTAAACCTGCATGAAGTGATGTTTTTGGCCACTTGGGGGCAGCAGAAACAAGCTGTGAACACACTGACATATAACTTTTGGTAAACTTTTTGGCAAATTGTTTATTTATTTACACAACCAGCAGACAACTTAACAGCATTAGTATCAATTTGGAGTCCTGTGTCCAAGTACATTTACTCAAGTACTGGAATTTTGCGGTACTTGAACTTACTTTATTTCTTTTTTTATGCTATTTTATACTTCTTGTATCTCGGAGAGAAATACTTTTTACTGCACAATATTTATTTAATAACTTAAGTCATTTTACAGATTAGATTAACAATATGACATATGACTAATTAATGAATTATGATATATAATCATAAATTAAGCTACCCAGCACTGTGGTATCATTTCTTCCACCACTGCGACTCTCTCACCACCTGCTTATTTGTTTTTTTAATGATACAACCAGCTTATAATGCATCATACTGATTATGTACACAAAATATTTCTCTCTGGGAGGTTTTTAACACACTCTTTTCTGGACATACTTCAGAAATGAAGGATATTTTGAGTCATGATGACACTTAATTCATTGATATGAGTTAACCTTTCATGAAAAAGAAATGCCCTCATGTTTTTTTGTTAAAAAAAAGACCATTTATTGTTATTTTTACTCTAAGTGTGGAACATAATTGAGTTGTGAACGGGTTAAAGTTATTTAATTTTGATGGTTGAAATATGAAATTAACCTCCGGTGTTGACAGTAGCAGATACTCAGATTACTTTTTGGTTGTAACGAGTAACATAACACCATAGTTCTGCAATTCAAGTAAGTTATTTAATTATATTTTCAAATAAGCAATCTATTACTTTTGAAATAAACTGTATTTCCGTGTTCCTTTAGTTGCCACAAAAACAAAAATGAAAAAAGAAAATCCCTGATGCATTCACACCTTTTTTTTAATGTACATGCTCCTACCTCTAGGCAGGTAGCTTCATACTGTACTAGTGGAGGGTATCCAATCCTAAGGTTGTGTCAGTGCACATGTGTAGCTCAGCTCACAAAGCGGCAGAGAGGACAACCTTTACATCATAAACGTATCTTGTTATTTTACTATATAATGATGAAAACTCTGTCTGTGTGTCTGTTCCACGTTTTTCTCCTCACTGACTTGGTCAATCCATGTGAAATTTGGCACAGTGGTAGAGGGTCATGGGAGGATGCCAATGAAGCAATATTACATCAATTGGCCAAAGGGGGGCGCTATAGCAACCAATTGAAATTGCAAACTTTGAATGGGCATATCTCATGCCCCGTATGTCGTAGAGACATGAAACTTTGCACAGAGATGCCTCTCCTCATGAGGAACAAGTTTGCCTCAAGAACCCATAACTTCCGCTTATATAGATTTTCCGCCATTTTGAATTATTTGAAAAACACTTCAAATGGATCTCTTCCTAGGAAGTTTGAGCGATCTGCATGAAACTGGGTGAACATAATCTAGGGACCAATATCTAAAGTTCCCTCTTGGCAAAAGTTGGAAAACTTACTAAAACTGAGCTTCTATAAGGCAATGAATATTGCGGAGGGCGTGGCTCATCACATAAAGGTGTATAACATCTCAAGGGTTTCACCCATCACCACGCAACTTTGTAGGCATATGACCACACATAATCTGAGGGGACCCCTCCATTATTGACCCCATCAAACAAAATGGGGGCGCTAGAGAGCTAATTTCTTATCTAGGCCTAACCGCCATATGGATTTTTACTAAACTTGGTAGATATGTAGAACAGGACGCCTCAAGGTGACTGGAGAAATTTAACTCTAATTGGCAACTGGGTGGCGCTATAACAACAGAAAAATGTTTAAAAATGGCTAAAATGTGACCGATCGCTGTGGCTCCCCCTGTGGACCAATGTTTGTTTTTTTTCTAATTTTTGGTATGACTAAGTCATGGTATGGTATGCTGTACATAATCACTGTCAGTGTCATTCTGTCAGTCAGTCATTCTGCTTGTCCCACTTTTTTCTACTCACTGACGTGGTCAATCTATGTGAAACCGCACATAGGCATTGAGGATTGGCATAGGTAGAAGGTGACAAAGCTACCAGTGGGAATGGACTAGTTCACATTATTTGTGGGTAAAAAGGTCAAAAATGTCACAGTGAAATGCAAATTGTGACTGGGGGATGCAGGTGTGTCATTCCTGTTATTATAACCTGCAAAGCTGAAGATTATAAACTGTAGACCGGGGTGAGTATGTGATGCTATAATGTAACAAGTGTCTTTTAACAGTAAAATTAGGTAGCACTGTTAACCACCAACTTAAGAGTTACAGCTCCCACACACAATTTCTTCTGATGAAGAGGAAATATTCTGTATGATCTTGGACATCTGATACAACCATCAATTTATCTTAAGAAATATTCTGCATCAAAAATGCCTGCTATTATTATATAAATGTCTCATGTCCAATTTTTTTTTTTTTTTTTAAAAGTCAAGCAAACAGTCTTTTTAGGTAACTTTTAAGTCTAATAATTTTGGCCCAAGCACGTCCATCACACTGAGATCCTTTTATTCCTGTGTTCAAACATTTAAAAAGTGCCAGACAGACATCCTGACAGCTACCACCACTGCAGCATTCTTTTTATCGAGGTATGAGCTAATTGGCCAGAAAAATATTGTCAACATGTCAGATGCAATCATGTTCAAATTTTTATCAGCAGCAGCTCCCTCACAGCTTTTATTACTGTAAACTCGATGAAGCTGGTGAACAGGTTTCACTCCTTATATCCTCTGTCCAAAGCCATTCACCATGTCTGCTTATGCAACCATCATCTGTCCACTTTATGAACATATGTGGTGATGGTATTTGGTTTAGTTTCAGATTTTTTGTTGTTGCTTCTTTATTATTTATGATTGATATGTCTAATTATTGAAGCCATATCTGACGTACTGTGTGTGCCCTGCAACAATCACATCTACCAGATTAATCTGTGTTTTTGGCCGTCATGTTTTATTACAGCGCCTTATGGTCACTCCAGGCATAAAAGAGTATTCGTGAAAATCACTGCAAACACTATAAATCTGCCCCACCACAGGCCAATGCAGGATACACATATGCATCAGCTGTAGTATGCTCTTCATCACGTGCAACTTTGACTTAGTTCATGAAGCAAAAAATTCCCCAGTTTAATCCCAGTAACGTCACAGCCACAGGCTTGAGATTAGCAACCCCCTGAGTGACTGAGATACACACCCACAATCACACACACTCAAGTCTGTGTGTGTGAATGATCATACTTTACAAGAAAATGACTGTTTTTTCCACGTATGTTCATCCTTCCCCTGGAAGCTTTAACTGACAGGGTGTGTGTCATGTGCCTCTGCACGTGTGGTTCAAATTGTTGAACTGTTGTTATGTCTGTCCTCCAGGAAACCCAGTGAGAAGAGATAATGAGTGCTGAACTCTCTGTTAACTAGAGCGCAAGGATAACTTGTAGTAACTAGTACATGAACCCTTAACCAAGTGTTCTTGTAGGGCTTTAAACATAAACTTAAAACCTGCAAAAACTAGATTTTGTTTTTTGGCTTTCAAGGTTTCCACTTAGCTCATCGATTGACACAGTCCACTGACACTGAGCTCAACCGGTTAGAGCCTTTCCCTCCAATAATGCTTGTAAATAGAATATAATGATAAAACTCCAAGAGTGACATGTCTTGTTAATAAATGGGAGAGCAGAAACACTTTCAGCAGACATACCCGTCCTCTTGTCGCACAGGGACAAAGCCCTCGGTGTGGATGACGCACTGTCCTGAGGGCAGAACTGCAGACTGCTGCATCTTCTGGGTTTCTCTCCTCTCTGAGATGCCCTGCAGAAGGCGCAGCTCCCCAAAGTTCCCCGCGACGGCCTGTGGTGACCTCAGGCTGCTCCTGCCTGGATGGCCCTGGGCTGACGCCTGAGACATCTCAATCTCCAGGTTGTTTTTGTTCTCCAAATACATGGTGAGGCTGCTGGAGGGTAGGAGGAAGCAGAGTTTTGATTCAGTATCAAAACTGTCAAATTAAAAATTTAAACCTGCAAATATTGACTTTTTTGGCCACTTGGGGGCAGCAAAAACAAATACAAGTTCAGTTTATATGGCTAACAGGTTAGTTAACAGTTACTTATTTACAAATTCAGCAGTAATGGAGCAGCATTGGTATTTATTTATTGTAGTGTTTCTGACCACCTGGGAAACGTTATTCTAATAATGACTCACTTTTGGTCTCCACCGACTCCACCAGAAAATGATCCATGGATGTATTAAGACAACTGGATACAACCTTGGAGGCAGGGCCCCGCCCATTCCTATGAAAGTTGCACAGTGGCGCATGAAGCCAAAAAAAAGTGACTTCCCGGCTAAAAAATTACCCAGTTCTTCTGCATTATTGGGCCCACAGTGCAAGCACCAGAAAGCACTCCGTCATGTTTTTTCTACTGGAAGGGCACCCAGGGGGGCATTTTACCTTGTTTTCTCCATGAAAGGGCACCCTAGACGGCACTTTTTCACATTTTCTCCACTGGAGGGGCACCGTAGAGGGCACGCCATCATGTTTATTCCACTGGAGGGGCACCATGGGGGGCACTTTTTCACATTTTCTCCACTGGAGGGATGCCATAGAGGGCACTCGATCATGTTTCCTCCACTGGAGGGGCACTTCAGAGGGCACTTTATCACACCTTCTCCACAGGAAAGGCAACAAAAGAGGGGACTTTATGATATTTTCTCCATTAGAAAGACGCCGTAGAGGGCACTCCATCATGTTTTCTCCACTGGAGGGGCACTCTAGAGGGCAATTTTTCACATTTTCTCCACTAGAGGGTCACTTCAGATGGCAATCATCACATTTCCTCCATTGGAGGGGCACCCTGGAGGGGACTTTACCTCATTTTGATCACTGAAAAGGCACCCTATTGAGCATTTTTATCATGTTTTCTCCACTAAAAATTGCACCCTCCAGGGCACTTTATAACATTTTCTCCACTGAAAGGGCACCCTGGAGGGCATTTTACTGTGTTTTCTCCACTGAAAGGGCACCCTGGAGGGCACTTTATAACATTTTCTCCACTGAAAGGGCACCCTGGAGGGCATTTTACTGTTTTCTCCACCGAAAGGGCGCCCTGGAGGGCACTTTATAACATTTTCTCCACTGAAAGGGCACCCTTGAGGGCATTTTACTCTGTTTTCTCCACTGAAAGGGTACCCTGGAGGGCACTTTATAAGATTTTCTGCACCGGAGGGGCCTCCAGGGGGGAACTTCATCATGTTTCTTGCACGTCGGCTCACTGTAGAGGGTACATTATCACGTTATCACTGGAGGGTCACTTTTAAATGTATACAGTCTGTGATGTCAAGTCAGCCGTGGTCATGCTTCAATAATCCAGAGGGAAGCCAACACGCATTAGAACAGCTGAATGACTCACAACGTCCATAAAACACAGCACGAGGTCAGTGGATGAGGTCCACTACAGCAGACATGGTCCTCGACAACACAAAGGCTGCATGAATTTCAATGGGATTATTGCTCACATGAAAGGGAGCAGAGACTCACGTGTGACATTTGCGATCTGTGTGACAATACCTCTTTAAAGAGTAAGACTACAGTCCTGTAAGGAGGCGGCACAGGGTCGAAGAACTGATCCTTTGAATGACAGGAATATTTCCAGGAAAGAACATAACATCACTACAAGCAACACCTTTCACATTACACATATTGATTTGATCCATTGATAATACAAAAATGTTAATTATAGCAGCTTTAACGTTTAAAGTTGCACCATAGATTATACATTACAATCCATTTACACCTATTTCTTTTTTACAGACACAAAAAACAACTTAAGTTTTGTTATTCAATGATGCACAGTTCATTCTCAAATTGAACCAATTTTTTCCATTCAAAACAAGTGCTGGCTGGTGTTTTGTTATGCCTCACGTAATACCCTTATCCAATGCTTGTGATGTGCCTCGTCAGAGAGAAGAATGATCCTTTTTATATGATTTCCTGCCTGTGGGCTGTGTTTGGCAACAAAGACAAACTGCTTTCTTTATTTTTCCTCCCTCGTTCACAGCAGTTAATGATTGAAGATGAATATCTTTTAACAAGAGTGTTGAGAATTACACAAAAGCGCACCTAGAGGAGGCAATGACTGCAACTGTGCACAAGACTGTAACACAAGGATTATGTGTGATTATAGCTGTTTGCCACATTTGCACATTTGTTATTTTTCTGTCTTTTAATTTTCATTATCAGGTGAATAATAATACAAAACATAAAATACAGTGTTCCAATCATTCACCGCACAGCCATTTACATATTAGAGGGATGAAAGGGATTTTTGCAAAGCCTTTGTGGTACTATACTGTACCGCAGTATTAGGACATAATGCTTAAACCCCGCAAAACAAAGCCCACTAGTGTAATACAGTGGAGTAAATCCACCATACACAGAATGCAAAGGAACTGAAGCAAATGTCAACTACTAACTTAAAATTGGATTCAAACTTTTATTTTGGCGGCCGCAAGTGAGAGACAGAAATGAAAGACTTACCTTTAAAGATGAAGTTGTTTTAGATGATGATGATAAGGACGATGAAGACACGGACAATGATGATGACAGAAGTGGTACTGATGATAAAGTTTGTGATGTTCAACAATGAACATCCAACAGCAAAGTTACGAGTAATTCACGCTGATAATCCTGCAGAAAATGGTGATAATGTATGATAGATGCTGGGATGTTATTCTGCTTTTTGCTGTTGTATTTAAGCACAGCGGTGGAAGAGAGGCTGAGGTGTTTCTTCTCCTCTCCTGTGCTCCCCAGCAAAGGAGCTAAGCGGTCTGGGTCTGAGAAGCTGAGGAGAGGAGGGGGGAGTGGCACAATTTGCTCTCCACTAATAGCAGAAACCTTTCCCATTCAATCACTCTCCCCTTTTTACAAACAAACTCCACACACTGCTTAGCCGCCTCCCCCACCATCCACACTCCCTGCACTCCAAATTCACCGGTCAAAAACAAAAGTTGAAGTCAATAAATACATTTTTTTGCCCTAAATTGAAGCAAAATTTAACATTTGAAATCATTTAATAAAAATGTTTCACATATGTCAAGTCATGAAAGCATCCCAATCTTGTACAGATGACTCAAAACTTGATATTCATGCTTATTCAGATTTGTTAAAGGCCCAGTGTGTAAAATGGGTTGAAAACAGTGACATCAGTGGTCAAATTCTAGATTGCAGGGCTCACTCGCTCACCCCTCCTGTCGGGTAAATGACAGTGGCCTCGTAGGGACAAAAAGCCTTGCGCACGACTTTTTCAGGAGTAGGTCTATCTAGCGACGAGGTGAATGTTTATTTAGAAATCTAAACCATGTTACGATATTGTAATGAATCCCTCACGAGCAGGAGACCAGAGGAGCATTCGGGAAAAAGGCCCGTTTATTTGAGCACTCCAAAAACTCCGGTAACACTCCACTCTGTCCCAAACTCTGACTCTTCTAGCGTAACAGACACACTTCATAACTTTACACACATACTCGTTTGCCATTCTGAGTGGGGACCCCCCTCCCCTCTCTGCTC